TAAATTGTTTTGAAACAATTGATTGTCGATTTTGTTTATTAACTACCCGTCCATAGGAATGTTGATAATATTTTTTTTCAGCTAAATGTATGAATTTATTTCTATATTTATTAATGAGTTGTTCATAAACTAGTTCACTGACTATCATAACATGTGTTTGATTATAACGTATCAAATTTATGTAATCATTTATATTAGCTAATAATGATACAACATTGTTTAAAAATATATTATTAGTATTATTATTATTATTATTATAATTATTTGTTGCTTTTTTAAATAATTTTTGTTCAATATTTGTACCATTATTCTGATTATAAAAAAAAATTATATTTTAATAATTTTAATAAATGATAATTAATTAATTAATAAATAATTAATAAATGATAATTAATTAATAAACGATAATTAATAAATAAATGATAATTAATAAATAATTATTATTTAATAAATAATTATTATTTCATAAATAATAATTATTTCCTAAATAAATAATTATTTAATAGATAATAAATAATTATTTAATAGATAATAAATAATTATTTAATAGATAATAATTAATTAATTAATTAATTATTATTGTATACTAAATATTGTATGCAGTGTGTATATTTATTTTATATAATTTACAATATTAGTGAAATAATATTAAAATAAACTAGATTACCTTGATTAAATCAATTTCCTCATTACTATAAAATAGTATTGTATTCATTGAATTATCCATTAGTTTATCTAAATCTTCTAACGTATCGATTGTTTGATGCGATTGTTGTATAGTTGTCGATAGGATTTGATTGTTTAGGAAATTAATTGCATAAAACTTAACAATAAGTAATACACCAATAATTATGATATTATTAATTGTAGTATTTTTAATTTTAGCACCTATTATATATAAATATATTATATATAAATATATTATTAGTTTATAAATTATAACTTTTATTAATATAATAAATATTATTTAGTATAAAAATTTGTTATTACCAATAAAAAAGATGTTATTAATTACTAACCACAAGTTTGTTGATATTAAATTCAAATAATATTTAAAACTGCTTTATATTGTAAAAAGTAATATTTTTAATTAAAAAACAAAAATATTATATATTTATAGTATAATGATTTAAAAAATGTAAAACCTTGATGATATATTTAATAATATTTCATTAGATATCAATATAGTTGTACAAAATATAACACTTTGAAACATTAAATACCAAAACTATAATATAAATAAAATATAAAATTTTATAATATATAAATTAGTTAAAGTATGATAGCAGGCGCGAAAAAACTATTTTTTTTTTTTAAATAAATATATAATACAATAATCACAAACTTTAAAATCAATAATCTTAAAAAATCCCAAAAAATCGTTATACTGTTGGACGGGATATTTGCCGCCAATTACGACAATACTTGACATAACTTCTGCTAATACTATATCAGTTAAGTCTAATATGTTATCCGTTAGCATAATATTTTCCATCGATATATTTATATTCTAGTTAATTAAAATTAATTAATTATAATTTATAATATATAAAATTATATATATATATATATATAGTTATATAAATAATTATATATATATATATAATTATATATATATATATATAATTATATATATATATATATAATAATATATATGATATATAAATTAATATTATATTCTAGTTTGATATTTTTATTGTATTTTATTTTATTTACAGAATATATATATAGTAATAATTAATATATATATATAGTAATAATTAATATATATATATATAGTAATAATTAATATATATATATATAATATATAATTACCTTATAATATATATGACTTATTCCTTTATATGTAGTACTTATGTTATTTGAAATACTATCATCGACAAATATTAAACTTTTTAAAATTTATTGAAAAATAAAAAAATTATTATACAAATTACTATTTAAAAAAAAACTAATATATTTTTTGTTATTATTATTTTTTTTTAAAAAAAACCTGTATTTTGTGCGTTTAATTAATTCCCTTAAAACCAAATAATCATATGAACATAATATAGTTAGACCATCATATAGATGTTGCTTGGTTAATTTAATAGATAATAATAATAGTTATTATAATTATAATAAATAGTTATCAATAAAAAAAAAAATTTTAAACAACAAAAATATATATTTATTTATTTATTACATTTAAATTATTATATAAATTATATATATACTCACTATTAATGAACTATAAACAGTTAGATTACCAATTGATTGAATTGATGTTAAATCAAAGTTTGTTGGCTTATTATCCATATAAGTAATACATTCAAAATTAGCATTCATTGTAGTCAATAGTCAATATAGATATTTCAATAATTATTAGTTAAACTAAAAATTAATTATAATTTTTTTCTTTTGCAAAATTATGATTATAATGTTTTACTAATAAATTAAGTAAACAACATTATTATTTTTATATAATTTTTATTTCATAGCTAACTAAATAAACTAAAACTTTAAATTAAATTTTTAAAAAAAACTAAAAATCAATTATTTAAACATACTTAATATATATATAAAAATAGTATACTTTTAAGATAGTATAGTTAATTTTTTTTCATAAAAAATCTTATTATATTTATAGTAAATTGTTTTACATTAGTTTTTAATATCTCCTACAAATGTTAGAAATTAATTAATATATTTATTTATTTTTATTTATTTTTATCATTTAGCCAACACATTTGATATATATTTATACGTCATTAAAATAAAGACAAAATTATTATTATTAATACATTAATATTATATATATATATACTGTATATGTGTGTATATATACATACTATTATATATATAATGATAATAATGTATAAGATTTTAATGATTTATTTTATCCAATTGATTCAATTGATGTTAAATCAAATTTTGTTGGTTTATTATCCATATAAGTTACACATTCAAAATTAGCACTCATTGTAGTCATAGATATTAATAATTATTAGCAAAATCTATAAAAATCTATAATATTGTTTTTTTTTAAATTATTATATTTATAATAAATATAATGTTTTAATTTAATTAAATAAATAAAATACTCAATTTTTGTCAGTTTATATATTGTTAAATAAATATATACAGTATATATATAATAAACTAATATTTAGATATGATATCCAAACTACAAACTTTTTTTGCTTGTTTCTTGCTATACATTAAGTAAAAAGTTTAAAAAAAAATTATTAAAGCTAAATTATTATAGTTATAACATTTACTTAATAAAAACAAAATTTATACTTTTAAACTAGTATATTTTATAAAAATAATTTATTTATAGTAAATTGTGTAATATATAATATCTGCTACTAATGTTAGACATAAAATATTAATATATTTACTATAATTATTTTTTGTATATCAATTTTATATACTTATATGTCATTAAATAAAAAACAAAAAATTATTATCATTATTATTAATATAATAATACATTAATATATGTGTAATAATGTAATAATTTGTTTTTATTTTTATCTATTTATGAAAAACAAAATTATTATTTTATCATAAATAAATTATTAAAACAAAAAATATCAGTACTATCTCTGACTTTTGCCTTTTTTTTGTTATTAAAATTTTATGATTATTTTTTCTTTGTATATTAATATTTGATTATAACATTAATGTTTATCAATAATATTACTTTGTAATAATAGTTAATTAAAAAAATAACTATTTTTTATCAACATTGAAAAAATATTATAACTTAAAATATATTTATTTTTAGTTTTATTGAAAATTTTAATTACTATGAATTTGTTATACTAATTATATTGATGTTATAGTTAATAAAAAATATAATACAATATATTAGAAGTTTAAAAAAGAATATTTATTTGTTATATTAATTATTGTATAAATTTATATAATTAAAAAAATACTATACAATACCATACAATACGTAATAAAATTTAAAAAAAACTATTGACAAACTTTTTTAAAATATTTATCATTTTTATTACAATTGTTTATTTCTATTATATATATATACTATTAATATTTAAAATTAAATATTTTATATGTAATATTATTATTAATAATAGTAATACAAAAATTTTAATAATTAATTTCTAATATATTTATTTATTGTTATTTATTTATTTTTTTTTTGATAAATTATTAATTTAGTTTATATTGCATAACAATAAAATAAAAATTTTCAGTACTATTAGTATAAACTAGTACCAATATTAATCTAGATTACCTTGATCAATTCAATTTCCTCATTACTATAAAATATTATTGTATTCATTTTATACAATACTTTATCTAAATCTTCTAACGTATCTATAGTTGTATGCGATTGTTGTATAGTTGTCGATAGGATTTCATTGTTTAGAAAATTAATTGCATAAAACTTAACAAAAAGTAATACAACAATAATTATGACATTTTTAATTGAATTATTTTTGATAGTAACACCTATTTTATATATAAAAAAATACATGATATTATTATTAATTATTAAATTTTAATAATGCATTGAAATATTATTGATTTATTATTATTATTATTATTACCCATAAAAAAGATGTTATTGATTACTAACCACAATTTTGATGATAATAAAATCAAATAATATTTAAAATTGCGTTATATTTTTTTTTAAAAAAAAGTTATATTAATAATATAATTAATTTTATTAAAAAAACAAATATAATGATAAACTACTAACCCGTTTGATATATTTGAAAATATTTCATTAGTTAGTAATATTGTTGTACAAAATATAACGCTTAATATCATTAAATACCAAAACTATAATATAATTAATAATATATATTAATATATATATATATATATACAAAAAAATGTATAAATCAAAACAGTATAATACGTATAAATATATATATATATATATATGGTATATAAGTATAGAAATTTTTAATTATAAATAATAATAATTAAAATATTTAAAAAATTAATTATTAATGATAATACAAACTTTAATATCA